AATTACATTTTACAGGGTGACTTCACAACCCTCAGAAATGTTCCAGATGAAAGAAAGAGACATGAAAACTGCACGCAGTACTTGATTCTAGACAATCTCATTTGTTGGAGAAAAAAACAATGCTATAAAAGTATACTCTGAGGATAACTTGATGTGGGACAGTGGGTTAGCTACAGTGTGTCCACTGCAGGTGGGGTTTGCAGGGAGCACTCCCAGGGCCTCAGTTACTCCCCTATGGCAGGGCTGCCAATAGCTGAGCTTGGTTCTCATCTCACGTACATTTTCCTTAGTATACTTGTCATTATAGAGCGTTTTCTTGTTTGTGTGTATATTCCTGCTATGATGCTTGCTGTAGGGTAAGCACAGACTGCTAATTGCAAGGCTGGCAGTTCAGACCCAGCAACTGCTCCTCAGAACCAACTCCATAGCATTTAACAACAATAGTATATTTGTTTGTTTTCACCTAACTGATGGCAAGCTGTTTGAGGTCCAACTCATCGTGTTTTACCGACTCCATCACCTAGGATAGCACTTGTCAAATTTTGTGGCCTAGAGGACCCCTTTACACTTTTAATACTTACTGAGGACATGAAAGAGTTCTTTGTTTATGTGGGCTGTTGCTGTTGTTAAGTACTGTCAACTCAGTTCCGACTCATAGCGACCCTGTATAGGGTTTCTGAGGAACAGCTGGTGAATTTGCAGTACCGACCTTGCAGTTCAAACTGACCTTGCAGTCTAGTGCTTATCTTACAGTGCCACACCAGGACTCCACGTAATGTGGGTTATAGCTCATGAAATTTACCATATTAGAAATTAAAGTGAAAAACTAAAAAAATATTAATTCATTAAAAAATAACAGTAAGTGAACTTCCAGCAAAATGGCTGACTAGGCAGACTCACTACCAGACCCTCTACAACAAAGATATGAGACACCAAATAAAATAGACACAGATGAAACTTCTGTACCCTGAACTTCTGAAGACAGGTTAGAGAGGTAGAGAGAGTGCTTGCTGGGAGAAGCCTAGTAGGAATAACGAGAAAGGGAGACTGACTGGTGAATGGCTGGCCAGATGCAGCTCGACCATCTTGTAAACAGCTCTGGCAACAGAAAGGTTCACAAAGCTGATGGGAAAGGGGCAATTTCTTTTTTTCCACGCTCCCCTGATGACCGGTGGTGTAGCCAGCTCCCACCCTCATCCACTCTCAATGCTAACCATGCTCTCTAGGAGTTCAAAGTCATGTGGTTGAGAGCCACACCAGTGTGAGTTGGGTCCAGCTGTGCTACTTTGGTGCCTGGATTCAGATGGGCTTGGCTCCAGACCTACTAAATCCGGTGTCACCAGACCAGCATTTAACCTGCCAACCTACCCTTAGCATCCTTGTGGTCCTAACAAACACTGATACTGGCTCCATCAAGGGCCCCCACAAACTACTTCAGATTCATTGCCCTGATAACACTGAGACCAATAGGAACTCCATCTAGGACTGGGAACTCTGCTGTCACACTCCTTCCACAATCAGTTCGTCATGAGCACCTTGAATTGATGGAGCCCACCAGAGATTCCTCCCATCTGGGTCCAACAATTATATTCTTTATTTTTGCAAATACAACAATCCCACAATGCCCTGGAGACAACAGACAATTTTAGCTGACATGGAGAAACAAGAGAGAATGGCTCAAACAAATAACCAAGATACAAAAACAGAAAACATTTGTGAGGAAAAAAAGATCATGGAACTAGCTGAAAAAGAATTCAGAAGTGATATTTTGATAACCTTCTACAGATTGACAGAAAGATTGAGGAAAGCAATGAGAATCCAGAAGAAACTTTAGAAGAATTCAGGAAAACACTGTAAGAACAAGCAGACAAAATAAATGCAAATTTAGAAACAATATAAACCTATAAACCCTGCAATTAGAAATTCAGAAGATTGGTGCTAAGATTTCAGAAATGGGCAATACACTGAAAGGGCAAAGGAAAAGATTTAAAGCAATAAAAACCCAAATTAGTGAACTTGGAGCTAAATATCTCAATCTGGTAGTGTAGTGGTTACAAATTGGGCTGCGAACCTTAAGGTCAGAGGTTTGAAACTACCAGCTGCTCCGTGGGAGAAAGATGAGGCTTTCTACTTCCGTAAAGATTTACACCCTCGGAAACCCTGCACAGGGTCGCTATGGGTTGGAACCGACTCGATGGCACTTCACAACAACAACAACAACAACAACAACAGTATGCTAGAAGAAAAATCAGAAAGAAAAAAAAAAGAATGAAAAAATCTGAAGAACACCAAAGAATTATGTGGGACACCATGAAGAGGAATTCCAGAACAGGAAGAGACAATAAATAGCACAGAGGAAATTGTCGAAGAGTTGTTGGAAGAAACAACTTGAAAGACGAGATGATAAGCATATGAGAAGTTGAACGAACCCCAAATAGGATAGATCCCAAAAGAAAATGACAAAGACATATCATGATAAACTTTCTAGAATCAAAGACAAGGAAAGATTCTTGAGAGCAACTCAGGAAAAACGAAAAGTTACCTACAAAGGTGAACCAATAATAATTTCTCAGCAGAAACCACATAGGTAAGAAAGCAATGGGATGGCATATATAAAACTCTGAAAGAAAAAAATTGCCAACCAAGAACCATATGCCCAGCAAAACTGTCCCTCAGATTGGTATTAAGTGCTGTTGAGTCAGTGTCGACTCATAGCGACCCTGATAGGGTTTCCGGAGCAGCTTGGTTAGCTTGAACCACCGATCTTGCATTCCAGCCCACTAACCCACAGTGTGCCAGACCAGGACTCCATCCTTCAGATACAATGGGGAATTTAGGCCATACCCTGATAAAGAGAAATCAAAGGAATTTGTAATGACCAGACCAACTTTACACACACACAAAATGCTAAGGCCTGTTCTTTGGACTGAGAACCAGTTACAGTAGACAGTAATCTGAGATTACCATACATGACAACACCACCCAGAACTCAATCCACATATTAAAGTATTTAAAGTAAAACAAATCTACAAGACTGAAAATAGAGAACCAGAGTATCAATGTATAATGAAGTTACCACAAAGCAAAAAGAGGGAATAATGTAGATTTAGAACTTCCAAATAGCAAGAAAGTCAAATAGATTTAAAGATAAAACAGACTGTTTTAGGTCAGGAAAAAAACAAATCACAAAGTAACTTCAAAGAAAAATATATACCTTCACATCAGAATAAAAAAAAGGAGCTGTGGTAGCATAGTGGTTACAAATCGGGCTGTGAACCTTAAGGCCAGCAGTTCGAAACTACCAGCCGCTCCACGGGAGAAAGATGAGGCTTTCTGCTCCCGTAAAGATTTACAGCCTCGGAAACCCTGTACAGGGTCGCTATGGGTTGGAACCAACTCGACGGCACTTAACAACAACAGAATAAAAAAGAGGAAAATCAGAAAGATTTAGTAAGCACTAACACAACAGAAATGAAAATGAAAATAAGATCCACAAACAAAAGTAACTTGGCATAAAAAATTACGTGAAACAAAGAATCCAGCAGCACCACAAAAAACTCACAGAAAAATGACAGCAGTTGATTCATACCTATTGATAATTACACGTAATGTAAATGGATTAAATGTAAAATCAAGAGACAGAGCAGAATGAATAAGAAAACAGGATCCTTCAATATGTTGTTATAAGAGACATACCAAAAAGATGGAGACAGCCTAAATGCCTATCAATGGAAAAATGGTTAAACAAACTTTGGTACGTACACACAATGGAATACTACAAAACATTGAAGAATAATGATGAATCTGAAACCTCTCACAACGTGATTGAACCTGGAGGACATTATGCTGAGTGTATGAGACTACTGTTGTAAAAAGTTAAGAAAAGTTCATCTTGAATAACAATCTATGATGGTTGCGGGGATGAGGCGAGGCAGATTATTCATGGGCTAGAGGGTAGTCGCATGTTAACATGGATGAAAAAGGCAGACAGTATACAAGAGGGAGGATAGCAGAAGGAAGATGAAGGTAGCAGAAAACACAGAAAGGAATGTAATGATTAAAATGAATAGAGGTAAATACTGTTAACGGTTTGGTACATGGAGGGGATTGCAACCATGTAATGAAGCAAAGTATATGATTTGTTGGATGTAAAACTGACGATATGTTCCGTAAGCCTTCACTCAAGTCACAATAAAAGTTAAAAAAAAAAAAAAAAAGACAGTAAATTGTTGAGTGCCCTTGAGTTGGTTCCGAGGAGTGTCTGGTGGGTTTAAACTGCTTACGTGGTTGCTTATCCTATAGTGCCACACCAAGACTCTGTTAACATAAATAGCAAGTATATATATATATCTATGTGTGTGTATGTAAAATTTCAAAACAAAAATTTAGTGAGAATGGCACTGATTTATTTATGTTTTTGCAAATCTCTTTCATGATTGATTTCATAAAAGAATCTGGGCTCTTCTCTCTGCTTTGCATTCAGTCCCTTGTGATGCCATGCTATGTAGCATTTGGAAGACTACACTGATCACTGTGAGAGGAGAGTAAGAAAGGTGAATGAGGTTTTAGTATTGCTATGGAAATAGTTTTGATATCATGAACTTCCTGGAAGGGTCTTGGGAACCACTGATAGTTCTTAGAAGGACTCAGTTGTTGTTGTCGTTAGTGCCATCTATTTGGGTCCAACTCTTTAAGGACCTTGTATAAGGTTTCCAAGGAGTGACTGGTGAGTTTGAACCACCAACTTTGCTGTTCAAACCGACCTTGTGGTCGAGTGCTTGTCCTACAGTGCCATACCAGGACACCAGAAGGACTCAGTAGGTACTTGTTGAGTGAGTTCATAAATTCCCCCGTGACAGTTGTATGGGCCAGCACTTGGGTGCACTTAGAAATGATGACATGTTCTTGCATAGTTCATCACTGGGTCTCATCTGCACATCCCACTGTCAAAGGGAATGATGGGCTGCATCCTTAGTGCTCCTCTGCTCCTCTTGTGCTAGGTGTCCCTGTGAACAGCAGAGTGTCCTCCAAAATCCAGCAGCTTCTAAATACCCTGAAAAGGCCAAAGCGCCCTCCACTGAAGGAATTCTTTGTGGATGATTTTGAGGAGTTGTTGGAAGGTAAGAGTTCCCCAACTTTGTTTCTGTTGTTTTGTTTGCTTGAAGAGTATAGCCATTAGGTCTGGAAAGTTATTTCTGATATCAGACTCAATGGCCATTTTGTGTAATAGTCAGTTTTGAATTACATGTGACTGTTAGCTATATTGGAGAAAGTAAAAGAATGTTGTTCATATTAAAGTGACTTAGGATTTTTCTTTGCTTCTTAGTCCAGTGATTAAAAATACTTCTATGGTTCCATTTTACTTACATTATTTAAATTTTCATATAAACATTACATCTGAAATACTTGTCTTTCCATGGTTTTTTTTTTTTAAATCAGTTTCAGCATACCTTTCCAGAATTAAAAAAAAAACACCTTTTCAGAACTTTGTTGTTAAGTGCCATCGAATCAGTTCTTACTCATAATGACCCTATATGGGGTTTCCGAGGAGTGGCTTGTGGGTTTGAACTGTTCATCTTTTGGTTAGCAGTTCATTGCTTATCCTACGGCACCACACCAAGTCCATTTATAAATAAAATCTGTATTTAGTAAAAAAGAACATAGATCCGGTTTTTTAAAGAAAACTACCAAGAAATATGGAGTCCTGGTGTTGTGCTGTAGGATAAGCACTGGACTGCTAACCACAACATTGGTGATTCAAACTTGCAAGCTGCTCATCAGAAACCCAATACAGGGTCACTGTGAGTTGCAGCCGATTTGAGGGCACTTAACAATAGCGACAACCAGGAAATACTTCTGTGGGAAAGGACCAAAAGGAAGACCTGCTATAAGCATGTGGACCATCAGTCCTCCTAGGAGACAGGCTGTTAGAACTGTAGCAGCACCCACAGTCACTCTGTATGTATTCAGGGTAGCAGCCAAGTGTTCTCATCCTGAGGGTTAAGCACAGCTTTCCCTTTATAATTAGATAGTGGCCATTCAAATTCAGAGTTCAGTGGTGACGATGCTTCTAAGAGCAGTCCTTCACCTGCTTGGGGGATTTTGGTTACATAGCCACTAGAAATATAATAGATTTTATTATGTGATTTTTCTTTCGATGTGACTTTGTGAGTTCCTGAATTGAAGTAGTGGTTCTGCTCACCTTCATCCTTTATAAGAAGGTTACCAGTCCTTGCTTCTCAGGAGTTACAGAAATGTGCAATACCACCATTAACCTTGAAGGTGTTGTAGCATACTCCTAAGGATTGGAGAAGTGTAAACACCATCTCAAGTCTAGCCTTGTCCTGTGAGGTTAGGATTACCAGGATGGTGGGTTTATTTATTTTAAATCACCATTATCCACAGCTGAATTTCTGTTCTGGGTTAATTGGTCTCTGACTATGGTAATGGTAAACAAATTTAAACAAATCATTGTAAACTTCATAATGATGCATGGTACTCTGAAATGTTGGTTTTTATACTTGGATTTTGTTTGTAGTTCAGCAACCAGATCCAAATCAGCCAAAACCTGAGGGCAGTCAGATGGTCATGCTGAAAGGAGAACCACTGACTATGGCAACACCTTGGCCTCCATCACTGCTGGCTGCCTTGCAGCAGTGGGGCACAACCCAGCCCAAAGCGCCCTGCCTGACTGCCTTGGATACAACTGGGAAGGCCATATATACCCTCACCTATGGCAAGTATCAATAGAAACCATTGTGCTTTTTGTTTAACTCTAAAATATTATACATACAATACAACATAGTCATACAGCTTAATGACTATTATAAAACAAATTCCCAGAAACTACAAGATGGTCAAATACATAGAGCATTGCCACATACTGGATCATTACACATTCCTTTCCACCAGAGGTAACCAACTATTGACATAGCGATCCATTTTGCTTTGTGTACACACCTATATATACATTTCTGAATAGTGTAGTTTAGAGTTGTCTAATTTTTACCTTTGTATAATGGTATCATACTGTTTATATCTTTCTGTGTTTGACATCTTTTGGTTCCATATCGCTCTTATGGAAATGCTATTGAAGCATAATGCAAACTGTAAGCATACATAATTGTAATCAGCACTCAGATCTGAAGCATTGCCAGGTCCCCAAAACTCCCTGTGCCCCTTCTGACACTAGCATCCTCCTCCCATACACAGTCAGTAACCATTGTCCTCACTACTAACATTGATGACTTTGCCTGTTTTAAAATTTTACACAAATGGGATTATGTAAAAGTGTTATTTTGTTCCTGCATTCTTTTACTCAGCATTGTTGGTGAGACTCACAAATGATGTGTAAAGTTGTAATTATTCTCATTGATGCATGTTTAGTATGAATAAATGAAACTTATTTATGCACTCTATAGTAGATGGGCTTTTAGGTTGTTTCCACTTTGGGACTATTGTGTATAGTGCTGTTATGAACATTCCATGTGAGTCTACTGGTGAACATATACAGGAATTTGTAGAATTGTACACATAGGACATACTGCCAAACAGTATAGTTGCAATAGTCTTCACTGCCTCCAGCATTATATGAAGAATACCAGTTGGTCCACATTCTCCCCAACACTTGATAATTGTGTATCTTTTATTTTAGACTTTCTGATAGGTATATAGCATCAAATTACAATTATCATTTACATTTCCCTGATGAAATGGTGCTTTTCGCATGCATGTTGACTACTTGAATACCTTCATAAACTATCCAAGTGTAGTTTATTCTTCTGTTTGGTTATTACCATCTTTTTTTATGTTTCAGATATAAGTCTTTTGTCAGATATATGTTTTACTAATATTTTCTCCAGTTTGTAGATTACCTTTTTACATTAAATTGTGGCTTTTGATGAGTGAAAAGTCTCAATTTAATATAATCCAATTTGTCTGTTTTTACCTTTTGTGTTAGTGCTTTCCGTGTCCTGTTTCTGAAGTCTTGGTCAAACCTAAGGTCACGAATATATTTTCTTATGTTGTCTTTACTGTTTTGCTTCTCACAGTTAAATGTTACAATCTGCCTAGAACTTTGTTTTGTATTGGAGTCATTTTCTTTCTTTATGAATATCAAATTAACCCTGTATCATTTATTGAAAAGTCTGTCCTTCCCCCCATGGGACACATAAGTGTTACTTTGTCATGTAATTGCTGAAAAGTGGATCTCTTTCTGAACTCTGTTCTGTTGTTCTATTTGCCTGTTCATATTCTCTGCCACAGTCAACACTCATGGAAGCAGCAGTCAAGAAATCAAGCATTGTATTGCATTAGGCAAATCTGCTGCACAAGATCTTTTTAAAGTGTTCAAGTTTGAGGACTAATCTGCACCTGACCCAAGCCATGGTATTTTCAATTGCCTCATGTGCGTTTGAAAGTTAGACAGTGAGTAAAGAAGATTGTAGAAGAATTGATGCATTTGAATTATGGTGTTGGAGAAGAATATTAAAAGTACCATGGACTTCCAGAAGACCAGTCAAAGCTGTGTTGAAAGAAGTGCTACCAAATGCTCCTTAGAAACCAGGAGGGCAAAACTTTTCTCTCATACTTTGGACATGTTATTGAGAAGGACTAGTTCCTGGAGAACGATATCATGCTTGATAGTGTAGAGATGTATTGACACAGTGGCAACAGCAATGGGCTCAACTGTAACAACAGTTGTGAGGATGGCACAGTACTAGGACTATTTCATACTGTTGTACATAGGGTCACTATGAATCAGAACTTCAACAGCACCTAACAGTGAAGGCATTCTCTGAACTATTACAAGTGTATGAGTCTTGTTGTATGTTATGTAGGTCCTTTAGATTGCCTTGACTGTTCTTGGACCTTTGCATTTCCAGGTAAACTTTAGAATCAGTTTGTCTATTTCCAAGGGCCTTTAGTGGCACAGTGGTAATGGTTAAATTCTCAGTTGCTAACTGAATGGTTGGTGTTTGAGACTCACCAGCTGCTCCAGAAAAGAAAGATGGGGAAGTCTGCTTCTTTGGTAACCATATGGGGGCAATTCTACTCTATCTTATAGGGTTGTTTTAAGTCAGAATTGACTTCACAGCAGTTGAGTTTTGTTACGGTTTTGTCGATCTCCAGACAAAAATCTTGCTGGTACATTGACTAGCATTAGTTCAATGTGAAGAGAAATGATACTATTTATAATATGGAATCTTCTGATTTATGGTTGTGCAGTGTTTCCCCCTTATCTGTCAGCAATGTGTTATACTTTGGAGTACAGAAGTTGTAAGTATATTTTGTTAGATTTATTCCTTTTATGTTTGTTGTTGTTGTTAGATGCACTCCCTGGGGGAAAACGCCATGGAAAGTCAGTTCACTTCTCACTTTCCCTCTAGTCTTAACTCCTCTAGTTCCCTTGCTGAGCTACTCTGTGACTATACCATTGATAATTTCAATATTTTATCAGATTTTTAAATTGTTCTAGGTAGAGTTGTTGGTCTGCTACCAGTACTCTCTCCTATTTGGAAGCAACACTATCTTAACCCCATTATGTTTTTGAATGCTCATCCATGTTACTGTGTTTAGTTGTAGTTCATTCATTTCTCTCAAGGATTGTATATATCAGAATTTACTTTTTCATTGTACTGTTGATCAGTGTTTGAGTCACCTCCAGTTTGGGCTGTTAGAAACAGTGCTCCTAGGAACAGTCCAGTGTGTGCCACTTGTCCACATAACATGCATTTCTGTAGGGTACTTAGAAATGGTCCTGTGCCTGGGGCTATGTAGATTTTCACCTTTATTTGATAATGCCAAACTGCTTTTTAATTTCTACTTTCCAATTTTCCATCTGCTCTCTATCATTTGTGGCCCTTGGCATAACCAGGTGTATTCATTTTAAATAATAATCTGTTAAATCTGTTGAGGAGATGGTAGTATGTATGTCATGATGGCTTTACTCTGCATTTCCCTCTTGAGCTCTTTTCACATTGAAAAGAAATCATTTGAATTTTCTATTTGATTAAGTAAGTACCTATTGAATCTTTTTGCACATTTTAATCCTTTCAAGATAGAATTATTTTCTGCAGTTAATTTTTTTGTTGTAACTATGTGTTTTCAGTAATTGACTGCATATTAAATGAAACGAAAAAAAATTCTTTGAGGTAATATGGATTTTGATATAATTAATGAGACCCATGTCACTTGGTGGGATGAGGTCTGTTTCTTCAGTTCCACCCAGTTATAAGCTCCCACCAGGTGGGAGTGTTCACTTAAAGTGGGTTAGCCACTTCCCACTAAACTCCAGAGGCAGGAAATGTAGGTTGTAGGCCATATACTCTATAGGTCACAAAAGGGTTAAATATAGGATATTCATAAGGCTTGTTAATGTATCCAGGACACCAGTCCTTTGCCAGTGTTACATGTTCTCACATATCTTCTACTGTGCATCCTAGTTTTTCCTGCTCACTGGAGTCTTACTGAACTAAAGTTACATCCAGTTTCATCGGTTTTTTTTTTAATGACTAGTGCTTTCTTTAAGGACTCTTTTCCTAGGTTAAGAACATGAAATTATTCTGTTATGATGGAAAAACTTTGTTGCTTTGCCTTTCACATTTAGATCTAATGTTCATCTGGAATTCATTTTTGTGTATGATGTGAGGATGGGCTCCAGTGTCACCGTTTTCAATATAGATAGATAAGCAGCTGTCTCATTACCGCTGAAAGAAAGTCTGCCCTTTCCCTATTACTCTGGAGTACCAACTTTTTAATAAATCAGGTTTCTAGACATGGGTGAATCTGTTTGGAGTTCTCGATTTTCCATTGATTTATTGTTCTGTCCTTGTGTCCTGTTGATGTCAAGTGCTGTTGAGTTGGTTCTGACTCTGTGATCCTGATAGCATTTCTAAGGAGTTGCCAAGAGTCTGAACCACCAACCTTATAGTTAGCAGTTCAGTGTGTATCCTACAGCATCACACCAGGACTTACTAAAGTTTCATAGTAAGTCTTAACACACATAGGGTAAGTCTTCCCATCTTCTTTTCTTCTTTAAGAGTACCTTGGGTAGTCT